GGCAGGTTTGGTCACCCTCCCCCCCCCCCCCGCCGCGTGAGGGGTGGCCATGGCAGCTTCTGCGGTGGCCACCGCCACCGCAAGTGCATGGTTTTGATCCTGCTCCGTCCTTGAACCCCCACTTGGCACCACATCATGCTTCAACTTTTGTTGAGTGTTGTTGTTCACACCTTCATGACTCATGTGAGTCTTCCTGAAAATCCATCTTCTCTTCTCCCTCTTCTGCAAATTAAGAAAAAGAAGATAGTACATTTACATTGACATTCACATGATCTAAGTTAAGAGCATGTTTCCATTTTATAAGTGCTTTTCAGAGCTTATGTATCAAACAAAAATAAAAAGCTTAGTAGAAACTTTTTTTTTTCTTCTAACTTTATCCAAATAAGTTAAGTTGTAAGAATAAATTGATCTGCTAAGGAACTGAACATGAAAAGAAGAAAAGATTAAACACACAAACCTTCTCTTCATCTTCTTCTTGGTCACAGTCCTCTCTTCTTCTGCCACTCCTTTTGTCAGTGTCTTTGGTGGGAGATCTGAATGCCCTTTTGACAGCAGTTAACCATGAACTACCACTCCCCTTCTTCCCCATGTAAAACTCAGAGGCATTTACAGCTTCAACCGCTTAAAAATGCCCGCAGAAGGAGCCAGAAAAATTGTGATAAAGAGTTAAAAGACAGAGAGGTTCAAGTTCAACCTTGTCTGGGGGAAATAGACAGAAGGAGAACCGAGGCCAACACTTATGGAGCTACGCTTCGGTCTTTGTTGTTATTTTTAACAAGTACACAACACAGTTGAGCAATGCTACAGTAATCTTGTCCTCGTCATGGCTCTGTCGTGAGTCAAATATCTGAGCAACTCTCATTTAAATCCTTAGAAATATTAAATGTAACGCACTCTTAGTTGGACCATTATTCACTTACTGTTCATTTATTTGTGATATTAGGCAGAATAACTACTAAGGTGTGTTATTTATGGTCTTGGCTCCATCTTTTTGATCCATATGGTTTTAGTTCGATGGGTTCAACATGTTGATTTTGATTTGTTCGTTAAAAGAATAACTGGAGATGGTTAAAAGTGAGTTTTGAATCTGTTTGAAGAAATTTTTCTAAATATACTTTTAAGAAAGTAAAATAGAAAAAAAAATAATGTTAATATTGACTTATTTATAAGCTAATATGTAGAAATTTTTTCTGTTAACTTCTCCGTAAACCAAGGGTGGATGAGGAGTAACGTATGAAATAGTTTTGACCAAACGTACCATAGAATAAAATAGCGGATAAAATCCGTGGTTCAAGATTATGTTGAGTGCCACATGGTTTATGCATAAAGTATGTACCCAAATTGAATTATTTAAGTGGCAGTCAGAGACAGGCTGTGAGTGAGAGAGGCAACAGATATATAATATTAATTTACAGTAAGATTAATCTAAATGGGCAAAGGTTATGGATTTTTGTGGCATGGAGTGGGGTGTCAGAAGCTACCTTAAGCTTTTATTGATAATGAAAATAATAATAATAATAATAATAATAATTGAAAGTAATAGAATAGAATGGGAAGTGGGAAGGATATAAAGCAAGTTGAGGGTGGGCAAGAGAGAAGCCAAAAGTGGCTTTTTCTATAATGGAATCAGAAAAAGTCACTATTTCTTTTTGGGGATAAATTATCTTTTGGAGGAGCCTTCGTTAATCTCTCATGGTGTCACGTGCTGTGAGCAGGTCGAGACATATCAGGTGGGTGATGGACCACGGTAGAGTCGCTTAGGAACATGCATCATGTGGCTTTACTCGATGGGTAAAAATTAATTTGCATGTTTTGCAACGAAATCAGATGACACAAATATCAATGAACCTATTGTCTTAATCCTTAACTAAGCTTGATGAAGGTGTCCACTTCTACTTCATCATGCTTCATCTGCCCCCAAGACCGGTCAAACTGTTCTAGATTCTCTATGAGGTACTCTATTCGAGTGTACCTTTCTTTTATTTAATCTTAAAATAATTAATTAATGGGAAACATTAATTTATATTCAAAAACATTGTTTTAAAAATATATTCGGATAGATTCTTGTATTCTTAAATAATGACCGAATTAAAATAATATATATATATATATAACAATCATAAAATTGAAAATAATAAGTTATTTAATTACAAAAGTGTAGTTCAAGAACTTCTTATTTGGTATGACTTTCAACTAAATGTCTTTCTCCATTTTATCCCTAGTTTATTTCATATAAATATGATTATTGTAATCTAATTACAAGAAAATATAAAAGAGTAAATTAACATTCAAAAATAATCAATAAGTATGGAAGAAATAACTAACTATACTACAACCTAAGCAATTCAATATGCATCAATCATTATTCACTTGCAACCTAACTACACAACACAACAAGTTCTCAACTTACAACACAAGCATACAATTATCAACACATCAACATGGTGTATAATCAACACAACACAATATACAACTTGTACAACACAATAACACTGTAACTTATTCACATAACTACATGACATATGCACAACATATTTCATCAACTCAACAAGATATGCACATCACAATAATTAAATGTTTCATCACACATTTCAAGAGATTTCTTACAACAATCGAGAAGTCTAAGTGATTTGATCCTATCAAACAACTAACAATGCGAGATCAATAACTAATTTAGATAAGAATTCGCAACACAATATGATTTCTCAAATTTCATCACTTAAACTAAGAAAGTCTAGTATTCCTATCATGATAGAATAACTTGGGTGTGAGTCTACCACGACCTTAACATGCATAACTAAGTCTCCCATTGAATTAACCTACTAACTACCCTCCAAATACTAGGCCCTTCCAATACTTAATTAGGGATTATTGCCTCCAACATTGTATCTTACTCTATTTGGTCATTTTGTACATGCATGACTCGACCTGATTCCCATACGGATCAACATTTAGTCATTTTATAATCAGTATAGTTTAACCCAACCTTTATATTATGATCACTTATAGATAGTATAACTTAACCTTACCCCATACCGCATCAAATAAGATCTTAAAGTCAACTTCTCAAAAAGAGTTTTCAACAACTAGGCTTTGTAGAGTAACACAATACAGTATCCTCACAATGAGATATTTAACTTTTAAAACAATCTCCCCTTTAATCCTAATTTAATCAACACAATTCCACATTATGTCTTAAGCATTCTCAACATAACTGTCTCATCACTATAACATGCAACTCAACTTACAACTTTTAACATTCAATCATCAATATATATCATCCTAAATCAATGTAGAAAGAATTGTCATCATATATCAACATACAACATGTGAGAAATTCAACTATCATATATATGTTCAACACTTTGTTAAGAAATTAACATATTTTCATTAGCCAACCCACATCCAACGCTATTCTCCTTGCACTCAACATGAATAAGGTAGAGAGCCTTTGACTCGCCTACGTCTAACACAAATCTACCTACATCCGATGTTAAAGAGGTAGAATTTCCTTATGGGAATCACGCATAACGTGACCAAAACTCAAGTCTGGCCCCGTTTAGGTGGAGAGTCTCTACTTGACTCATGTTCGACGTCACTACATTAGTGCTCAACATCATCCAGGCAAAGAGCTTTTATCTTGATCATGCGTGACACCATTCAACTAGGAGTCGATGTAACAGTCAAAAAGCTCCAAAGGCATCCATGTCTAACGTCATTCAACCCGCACCCAACATGACTAAGTCAGAGAGTTCTCTTTTAACTCATGTCCAACGCTACCAATTTTGTGCTCAACGTTAGCGAGGCAGAGAACCCCTAGGCCACATCACGCCCAATGCCTTGAAGATGCACCTAACATGATAGTATATTCTACATTTGATAGATTCACATTTTAGCTCAATTTGTACTTGAAACTCAGGAAAACCAACATGCTATGTTAGAAATAAAATCTACACATCATAAGCAATTCATTTCTCACTAAAACAACTACATGCAACCAAGAATCGTTCACCATTCACCCAAAATCTCCCCAACATATTCAAAACTCCCAAAACCCCATAACACACGAATTTAATCTCGTAATCATCAACACAACCATAGGTTGGGTAAATGCAATCAATAATCAACTTCATCAATAAACAAAGAATCATGTTCTAGTTTCCCTTACCTTTATCTCCCAAGAATCAAAAGAAGAAGAAAAAAAAAACTAAGCTTCAATAAACTCTACAAGGAACCACCACCATTTTGATTCTCAACCTTTCAAGTAGGCATGACAATCTAACCTGCCCCCGTGAGTCCCCGACCGAACCCGCCCCGATTTGGATGGAAAAACCCGTGTTTATCGGGTTCGGGTTCGGGTTTTCCTCGATTGATAAAATCGGGGGCGGG